AGTAAGCTACGAGGCAGTCGGGTTGTTGCGGGTGACTTAAGAGGAGGCGCAGCTTTAGTTTTAGCTGGATTAGCAGCTGAAGGAGTCACTGAAGTTTACGGGATTTCACACATTGAGAGGGGCTATGAGGATTTTCACAAGAAGCTTCAACTTTTAGGAGCTGATGTTAAGAGAATTGATTGCTCTAAATTCACCAACTTTCGTGTCTGAAATTAATTCAACTAACCCTCAAAGGTATAACAGCAAAAGATGTGGACCTGTCCACATCAATTTGAAACGGCTATATTTCCTCAACTATGCAGCAAATATTAATTATTTTACCCTTCTTGGGAGTCTGGTAATTGCTCATTTAACCAATCTTCATTTATTATTTTTAACCAATGTTCATCTCAAATGTATCTATCAGTCATGTGATAGATACATTTATCAAACGAGTCAAACCGAATTCGAGTTGTCGAGTAGTCGCTAATTATTGACGAGCTATAAATCTAGCATCGATCACCTACCCGCTGCTTATTGACGAGTTGTTGTTGGTTCTTGAGACCTTGCCAAATAAGTGTCAATCTGGCTAGAAAAATGTCCTTTTTTGTTTGCGACCGGAGGTATCCCCACGTTCATTCAAGATTTCACCACGAACTGTCAGCCCCCCCCCACAGGGTACGGGCCTAACGGCCTAAGGGATCCACACCCATTGGTGTAGGACTAATCCTCCAGGAAGAGTGAGGTGCCTCATCCCCAGTCCCCACGATAGTTAGGTTCGATCCTCTGACCTTCGCTTTCACAGAGAGTTTCACCCTCCCACTAAGCCAGTTGACTACCTGCCCTGGGGGCTAGAAAAATGTCAAAATAGGCAAAAAAAAAATGTCTCGTCAGAAAAGTGTCAATATGAGAAAATGCATCTTGTCAAATAACCGTGAATCTAGCCGAACATGTCAATTTGACCATAAAAATACCGATCTTGTTAGACGAGTGTCAATCTGGCCAAAGAATGCCCATCTGACAAAAAATATGTCGATATGGTCACTAAAAGTAACAATCTGGCCGAAGAATATGTCAATCTGACCAGAAAAGTGTCTATCTCTCCAGAAACATGACGATTTGATCATAACAATGTCAATGTGTTAGAAGAATGACAATCTAACGAAGAATGTCAATCTGATAAAAAAAATATATGGATATGGTTAGAAAAGTTTGATAAGTGTACTTTCAAGGCTCTAAATAATGCTACATGGCACTGTAAATAAGAGAAGAAGAGGTTCAATCAAAGGACACTTTAAACACTTAATAAAACTCATTAAGAGAAAATACAAATACAAATAAACACAGCATATTATTTTTACAAGATTATCAATAAGAATAGTGATTAATCCTCTACATCTCAATTTTGTATTCTACACATTCTTTACATTTCACAAATCCTCTAATTCTTTTTTTAGTATTAAATAGTACAACTTAGTTCATTTTATATATACAGTATTAATTAATAAAATTATTAATAATTTTAAAATAATTAATTTTTATTTATTCATATATATATACTGCAAGTGTGAAATCGTAGTGGTAGAGTAGAGCAGTCGAATATTGGAATTATCAAGTGGTTTCTGAACTTTATTTAACTAATTTATTGTTTCCCTTAATTCTGGCAACTAATAATGAAATCTCTACAAATTGAATCCCCACTAGTTTTCTAATTATAAAATAACAATAAAATTTAAATTTTTTTTTTTAGCCTCTCACGGTATTCGGAGTTATGTCCCGACTAATTTGTTGATCGACCATGATCGCACACCTAGTAGTGATAGGTGAGTCTCCCAACAAAAGTGTTCTGCATCAACAAGGACACGAACCTAAAATTTTGTTTAAACGACATTAAACTGCTTACCGCTTATGTCAAACTGTTGGTAGTTTTAAATAATCTATACTATTATAAAAGAGCCAATGAATCTGTAAAAATATGATATCCCTAAATTAACCTTACTTTGTCATGTTTATAATGTCAATTTTGTAATTTAATACCCCCA